GACGGTAGTGGTTTTAAGTATAATATAAAAAATTATAATTCATTATGTTAAATTTCATTTGTTTGAATTTTTTTAAATAATATATACTGCTAGATGGTTAACGGTGCATATATGCACCAGTCAACTTTATGTGGTTACCTACTAAAATATTAATTATTTAAAAATTCAAAAATGATTGATAAATATTGATATATCTATAAAGAATATATACACACTAGTTTTCATCGAAATAATTTTATAATATGCTCGTGAGATCACTTAGAAAATTTTGCATTTTAGACCTCATAAATTCGCAAAGTTTGAGGGTTTCTTAGGGGCATAAAAAAATATTTTTTTCATATTTTTCTTTTCCAGTTTTGAAGTACAATGTCTGAACTATATAAAAATCTTTTTTATTATTTTTAAAAAAAAAACTACTATGTTAAAATAAGGTATATAGGAGGTGGTGCATATATGCACCGTTAACCAGTAACGAGTTAACAAAACAGTTGTAAAATTTACAAGTTTTTAAAATTTAAAATTTCTTGATATTTTTTTCGAGCATAAAAAAAACTTTAAAAAAAATAGTTTAGATAAAATTTTCAATTCAAAAAATATATATTCTAGTAACTCATATCCTTAACTATAATTCATTAAAATATTAGCCTCAAAGGTATTCATTTCCTGAAAATATTTGTATGTTCCATTTTTCAAACATTGGCAAATAACGATATCTAAATATAGATTCTTTTTTGCCAAAATGAAATTCACTAATTTAAAAACAGCTTTAGAAACATTAATAGAAAATTCGGATGATGATGAACATGAAATTATCGTATTACCACCAGATAATATAGGAGATGTCACAGATGAAGAAAGTAATGAATAGATCTTATATATACTTTCCTAAGTTCAACAATAAACAGCTAAAAATAAATGGGTTTTTTGTGCCAGGTCTGAATCCCGAGTTAATACTCAGATCCTGAGAACCAAATTGGGTCATAAATTTTAAAACCAAGCAAATTAACAACACTAGTAATGAACATGATGTATTGCCAGAACAAACAGAGGATGTTGAGGGAGCAGAATATGATAAATAATATATAAACATCTAAGAGAATAAAAATTTTAAAAAATAGTTAAAAGGATTATATGATTTCAAAAGAACCAATTCAGTTACAAAATTTTTTTCCATAAATGTAAAGATTACATGTCTATACCGCGAATAACGATTACCACGAAATAATATTATAGCGAATGCATTATAGTGAATATAATATATATCGAAAATATTATGGCGAATGCATTAGCGCAAATGTAATGCCGCGAAAGTGTTATCGCGAATGTATTATAGCGAATACATTACAGCGAATGAATTATAGCGAATGCATTGCAGCAAAAGCTTTACCACGAATGCATTATCTTAAATGAATTACATCAGTTGCAATATCGGAAATGGAGTTTGATGAAAATCACAGTTTTATATTTATCTGCCTTTAGTCAAACTTATTTGAACCTGGTTCGGACTTGGGTCTAAAAACTTTTTTTTTTGAAAATAGGGCTAAGGTTTTTGATTTTTTTGACTCAAAATATATAAAAAAAGATTTCTCTAGGATTAGGGTAGAGGAACTAAATTTTATATTAATTGATTGTTTAAATATGCGTTTAGTTATATTTTTTAATTAAATTTGGGACAGGCTCAAGCCTAAAATTAAAAATAATGGCTAGGCTAAAATAAATAATTGGATGGAGCTTTGGCTAAAATAAATTAAATTTGTAAGGCGCTAAGAAAAATCTTATTTAAAACATTGAGCAAAACAGATAATTAGTCTTCGAAAATCATTTATATTATTCTTTAACAAAACATGCTTGTGAGGGATTTAGTATTGACTTGATAAGCATATTTTGATAATAAATTTGTATAAAGTTCTCTTATTGCTTAATCTTAAAAAAACAAAACATGAAACAATATTCAGCATCACAATAAATTGTCGAATTGAATGGCTCATATCTCAGAACTTAATTCATGTAATCTCTGATGATGAAATGGCGACTACTCAAGAATTGGGAAAAACAATAGAATAATAATTTCCTTAATTGATTCTTGTTTGGATCTTGCTTCCTGGCGAGTCTTTTTTTATAGTTATGTGATTAAAGACAATAAAATTATGCCATGAGAAGAAAAATTGGAATTTCTGAATTCTGTAGGAAAAATTGAAATATTCGTCTAGTTCAACAAGCTTTAAAGAAGCCTCAAAATACGGGTTCTATATACCTAAAAATTATCAAGTAATAGGCTAAAACCTATTGAATCTTACAAACATGAAAGAAAAATTGACAAAATATGGCTCTTAATTTCGCAAGAATTAATCAAATTGGCGTTTAATGTTAGTGTTATACAAGAAAAAAAGGATAGATTAATTACATTAATAATATTTATTATTTTAATAATTTTATGGATCTCAAAGTATGCTTTGTGTTTTGCATTAAAATTTATAATTACGAAAAAAATTTGAAAAAAAGGCGAGCATCCTACTATAGACATAATGGGAACACGTCTAGCCCATTTATAAATATATATAAAAAAATGAGGTCTTAAGTTATTTTTTTCAAATATTAGTATAAATTTTATAAAAAACGACTTAATCAAATTATTAAAAAAAATTGAGGATAATAATTTCCATATATTTTTTAATAAAATATGAAATTTCATAAATAGAAAGTCACGTGTTTTAAAGTTATAAAAATTTAAAAACGCTACATTAAATACATATAGAAACGTCAATTAGGCTAGTCATATAGAAACGTTAATTAGGCTAGTTCTCTGGTTTTTTAAAAGGTGTGAACTTGCTAAATGATTTACAATATAATTAGAGAGTCAAAAGAATTTCCCTAGAGAAATAGAATCCGATGGTAAAATATTATCGGCCAGGAACTTCCAAAAGGTAACAAATTTATGATTTCCTATATATTTAAAAAATAAAAACATATTAATGATGAACTCGTCATTAGAAAATAAGTGGATAAATAAAAAAGAATTTTAATACTTCTATTAATTATATCAAGTATTCGTCAAATATAAATCACTATTGCATACGTGATAATGCATTAGCTGTAATGAATTCACGATAATAATTTCGATGCATTCGCGTTAATAATTTCGTGGTAATGTCTTTGCTCTAATATATTGGCTATGATGCATTCGCGATACTGTTTTCACTATGATGCATTTGCGGTAACACATTCGCTATATCTTTTCGTGGAAATCAACATTCATGGTAATGCATTTCGCGTAAAAGGTTTCGCGGTATTGACGTGATACGAAATGTAAAAACCCCTCTAGAATTATTTTGTATGTTTTTTGATAGACATGTATTCCCTTATAATAAATCACGGAATTATATGCTAATCAAAAATCAAATCATTCTTTTGATATTCAAGATTTGAACATTTTTATATGTATTATTCTATATAGTAGATATCATATTCTTCCTTAAGAAAACTTATATTGATCAAGATGAAGATGTAGGTTATATCGATAAAACTAATAGGGAAAATCAGACCATTTTTGATATTGGTCAAAATCTATAACAATTTGGGATATTCAAAAAAATTAAGTTATGATGAACATGATCCCCATTATGATAACTTAACTATAAAAATGTACATGCAGGAAAGTTAGTAAAATTTGGTGTAAAAATTAGGATTCAGCTGTTATTTACAATGTTCAAGAACATGCATTATTTTTTATTAATTTTTTTACTTTCACAAATTTATGTGGAATGCTAGGAGAAAAAGGTTTACATTGTATAGGTCGGCATAAATAGAACCGAAAAATTTCCATTGGACCTAAAACTAATGGAAAAAGTCTCAAATGATCTTATGAAATCATCAGTGATAAAAATATAATGATAGTCGTCCTGCAGAATGGTGAACAATTATCAAGGAATATATAATCTAAATATAGTCAAGCAATGGAATTCTAAATAAAGTATATATTGATATCGATAACCCAAATATATTTCCTCTGCTGGAAGGTTTACAGAGCAAAGAAGAGCATATTTGAATCCAGAAAATCTGAATATTCTTAATTAAATATTGAAAAGTATTGGATCATTCCATATCAAATCAATTGGCAAATTTCTAAATGTAGATATTATTTTGGCATCTTAATTTCATCACTTTATAAAATCATTTAAATTGAGCCTTTTAACCACACTACATTTAGCCATAAAAATTACCCACATTTTAAATGAGATGTGATTAACTTTTGGAGAAACAAAATATTTATAAATTGGTTTAAATGAACATGTAAATAAAAATATATATAAATATTGGATTGGTATTGATTATCAAATTAGTTTTATAGTAATATCAGATTGATGAAAAATTAGTGGATCAGTATAGCCTAAATTTATATAACAAAATATTTGAATATTCGCTAGTAAAAAAATTGACTATATTCAATTATGTATTATGATGCAATAAACAGATAAAAAAATAAAATTCAAAATAAATACTATGTAATAAATATGATTTTTGTAAATTATGAGTTCAAGTGAGATCAATAGGTTTAATATATTATAAAATGCACTAGAAAAAATATGTTGCCAAATATAAACATAGGGTGTGAAGGTGTTTAAATGCAAGAAAATGAAAAGTTAAAAATGCTTGGTTTTTCAAGAAGAAAAAAAATTAAAACAATAATAAAAATATTAATAAATATTATCTCTAGTTTGAAACAAAAAACCATCCTTTCAAAATGTCTAGAAATCTGGAATTAATACTATAAAAAGTATACCTTATTTAAAAAAATTATAGTTACTATTAGAATTTTTAAAAAATGTACTTTTAAATTTAGATCAAAAACTCTTATAGAATCATCATGAGAAATTACAAGATGTTAGTAATCAAATAAGAGATGATGACAACATGTTTACAAATCAGCAGGACCAAATACATTATATGAACCTTTTAAACAAAATGTTTGATTTATTAAAAATTCAATATTTTATTTGAACTTGTATTGGGGCAGGTTTAAGGGCAAATATTTCATTTCTAGCACCTTTGGTATACCCATTCATGTTAACTAATATATGAATGCCATCTGCATATACTCTATCAGCAGCTTTGCCATTGCAAGGAATTTGAGATAGGTCAACAAAATGCTCAGCTTCTCTCGATATTTTGGCCCTAAATGTAGTACCATCATCTGGGCTAAGGGAATAACAAAACACCTGTTAAACAAAAAAATATATATAATAGAATTTCTGATATGAAATTTACTTCAACATTTTTACGATTATGAAACCCTGGGATGCTTTGCATTAAATGAGATGTTGGGTGATTACCAAAATCAGAGCTAACATACCCAACTCTTAGTCTTTCTGAAGACCCCAGTTTTTTGGGATGTTCAAATGGGGCTTTATGAAGTATGGATACTTTGTCCATACATAAAATTGCATGTTTGGCAGCAATTCCTTTTCTGGATTCATGGGAAAGTGGGTAAAGCATACTATGATGTGGGTGAACTGATGGTAATCTACTTTTTTCAAGTTGATCTGCCACTATCGCTATCAATTTTTTCATTCTAATTTCATAATCTCCCCAATCACAAACAATCTATGAGAAAAAAAATAAAATTTAAAATAATTTTAATTTCACAAACTTGAAGGCAATGAGCTAGATTGCAATATGCATCAGGAAAATCAGGCTTTAATTTTAATGCCATACGATAAGATTGTATGGCTTCTGGAATATTTCCAGAATCCTTTAAAGAAATGTTTTATTTTAATATCTAAAAAATATTATGCCTTATGTATTGATGCTAGATTGCTATGGGCATCTGCAAATGCTGGATTTATTTGAATGGCTCTAGAATAACATTGTAATGCAGCTTGTACATCTCCCATTTCTTTTAAAGTGTTTCCCATATTACTATATGCATCAGCAAATGTAGGAGCTATCCTGTTATTGTTATAAGCATAGATGAATGTTTATACTCATAAAAAATTTATTTTCACCTAATTGCTTCTTTATAATGACTCAAAGCTTCGTTTAATTTGCCTTGACATTGTAACAAACTACCTAAATTTGAATGGGCAGCTGCAAATTCTGGAAATATCTAGATTAAATTATTTAAAATAATGTATTAATATAAGAACTTCTAAAGCTTTGCAATATAGTCTCATAGCTTCTTCTGTATTCCCTTGCTCTCTCTTAATGTTGGCTAAATTATTCAAAGAATCAGCATGAGTAGGACATAATCGCAAAGCTGTTAAATAGCATTCTTCAGCTTCATCAACCTTAATTTTATAAAATAAGAAATTAGAATTAAGCAATATTTTAAAATACATTTCCTTGTTCTTTCAATGCATTAGCTAAATTACAATATGCATCAGGAAAATTAGGTTGCAATTCAATAGCTTTTTTATATGTTTCAACAGCTAAATCTATTAACCTAAAATAAAAAAAATACAATAGCAGTAGTAATGAGCATATATTAAATACCCTTGCTCATAATAAACACAGGCAAGATTGCCATGAACTATTGCATGGTTTGGATTTAATTGTAGAGCTCTTAAATATGCAGCAACAGCTCTGTAAAACAAATATTATATATAAAAAATTCTTTCATATATATACCTTTCAAATATGCGTGCTTCCTTGAGTGTATTTCCTAAATTAATATAGGCATCAAGAAAGTTTGGATCAAGATGGACAGCTTTTTCAAAATGATGTATTGCTAACCATATTTCACCTTGAGCATTAAAAACACACCCTAAATTACTCCATGCTACTGCAAAATTAGGCTGAGTCTCAATAGCTTTTAAATAACAAGCCTAATATAATAAAGAATAAAATAAAATAAATCTTAAAAAAAATGCTGTAATTTTTAATTGCTGCAAATATTGATGCTTTAGCAATGCGCGCCTTAAATTTTAGCAAATTGCTGCTTTTAATTTACCAATGTAACCTTGAGAAAAGGCATTTTAATCCTACTGGGTTGAGGGAATGGCAAATGTTCATTTAATGGTCTCTTGATGATCTTTGTTACCATAACTTTTATATATTATAGGATCTTGATGATAAAACATAAATGATAAAAATATAAAATGTAATTATTTTCACACTATCTCTGCTTGTTTTCTCACCATTGAAAAAACTAATACCTTTATATAAAAAAATGCTTCGCATGCGCTGTATAGTTTGCACAATATAATAGTAGCAGGCGCGCATATATTATTAAAATACAACAAACTTTTGCTTCATTTAAATGCCCCATTGATTTTAATAAATTTCCAAGATCACTACGTACACAGTATAAATCCTATAAATTATTTAATCTGCAAAACTAATAATGAAAAATTACTGGATTGTAATGTAGAGCTGTAAGATAAGCTTGAATAGCACCCTCAAGATCATGTGCTGTAACAAGGGCAGTAGCTAAATTAATGTAACCATCTATGAAATCTGGTTTTAATTGCAAAGCATGTTTATAATGTTCTAGTGCATCGTGAAGGTGCCCTTTTTCTTTTAGTACATTACCCAAATTCGAATATGCTTCTGCCAAATGTGGATTATGTTTTATAGCAAGGGTGGAAAAATGTGCAGATCTTCAAAAAAATTAATTATAAATTCATAATTATTTTTTACTTTTCTAAATTTCGCATTTGAAAATGAATTGACGAGAGTAATAATAAAAGAGCTGTATTATCTGGCTCCTGTTTCCATAACTGCATGCAATGTTGTTCAGCTTTCTCGTATTCACCTCGTTGATACTCACATTGTGAGATCTCCATCAGGCCTATAAATGCCATATTATAATATAAAAATAAATATATTCAACTTTGTTTCCATTTTAAATATTGTTCTTGGCGCTGTTTCTTTGGGTCCAAATGCATTCTATAGTTATAAAAATAATTCTCTAAATCGCCTTTGGAAGCCAACTTTGGTCGATTTAATAGAAATTAAAAAATTAAGACTGGTTAAATAAATAAGTTTACCCGCATGCGCACTATTCAACACGTGACATAAAACGTATAGAATAAATAAAATGGGTATGAATGAACTAACATATTTTTCAATTTTAGAAATCCAAATCATAATATAATACAATTGAAAAATATGAATAATATTAAATAATAATTATAATAGGATTTAAAGTAACATTATATCGCTATAGCCTAAATACAATTTTTTTATATAATAAGTAAATTTTAAATTTTTGCTGTGTTGCAAAATTTTAACAAACAATTCGCTAAAAAAAAATTGAAATGAATTAAGTTTTTATTTATTTAAAATATACAGTGTTCGGTTGAATACGGACCCTAATATTTGTCTCAAGTATATAATCATTTATCCATGATTCCACTGCAGTATCCAATATGAATAGGTATTTTTGATTAAGAAAATTATCATTACGATAGAAATATAATTGAGATAATTGTTTTTTTTCCTCGTTGTTCTTTTATTATACAAGTATGCTTCTGAATTATGGGTCCTTTGTGGATTACTTTTTTTCGACTTTATAAAATTTTGTTATAATTTGGAAGATTATTGACACTAGGATTTTGCCTAGTCCGGCTTTCGGGCGATTAAGGTCAGGGGCGGACTGGCGACGCTACGGCTTCGTGGGCATTTTTTTTATAGCGGCCTCATTTTTATGGGGGCTTCGCCCCCATACCCCTAATTTTGTTTTGCCCGGCCTTTGGCCGGGTTCCCTTAAATGGCTTCTGAATTATATGATTTTTATAACTTCTTATTTTTGAAAATAGTTACAAACGATGTACATTTAAAAAAAAAAGAATAATGACATGATACTCATATATATTTTATTTCATAAAATTGCACATCTAATATCATATTTATTGCACATATATTTTATATTAGATATAAAACAATAATGCACTATAAAATTAAATCATACATCACATATTAATTATAAAATAATACATAATACTCAATATATAAAATCAATTAATTTCACATAAAAAATTATTGCAATTATACAATATTGCACAGAAAATAAATTTGCTACCGCCGATCATATTGTAAATAGATATAAATAAGATTTTAAAAAAAAGAATTAATATAAATTTTTAAGTTAATAAATCTCTCGATAACTTTGAACCTTTGCACAAATAAACAAGAATATCTTTTAGTTCAATCTGCGCTAAAAGTTCCCGTTCAACTGACATCATTAAAAATGCTTTTAATTTTTCTTGTCCTATATTTGGTCTCAGCCCATTTTTTATAATTCTTAATTTATTAAATGTTCTCTCACAATTGACTTGCGTAAATGATAAAGTTAAAATGTATTCATATGCTAAAAATAAATTAGTGTAAGCACTTGTATGCATATTGTATCTTTTAATAATTTCGTACACACATATTAAACACTTGTTACATCTATTATCACATTTTGAGTTAATATCATTTTGTAATATTCCATCTTCTTCATATGAATCCTCACTTGTACATACGATATCATTGTCCGTTTCATTTAATTCTTCCACTAAATCTTTGAATACACTGGCAAATGAACACAATTCGTTACGTAATTTAACAATCGATATATTTGCCAATTGTGCCAGTTTTTCTAAGGCCTTTTCAAAAATACCTTTTCTTTTTATACCCTCAAAATGCATTGGATGCAAATATTGCACATTCAAAATAAGCTCTTTATTCGCAGAAAACCGTTCCGACAAGCTGTTTATAATTTGATCAATTACAGGACGAAATACTTCGACCCTATGAAGGTCAATCGATTCTTGAGGACGTTCATCTTGGCCTTTGTCACTATATATTCTCTTCACTCGTCAGTACCCATATACTCTCTGGGAGCTTTAAATATGAAAGTGTTCCATTTAAATTAGAAGCCATTTTTGTTGTTTTATTTTCAATTGAAGTAATAGTTATAGATGGCACAGAAGACTTGGCATCTTCTATCATTTTCCACGCTGATAAAATATCTAAATTCTTAGTTTGAAGATATAATGACAATGGCCTCATTATTTCAAAAATTTCTAAATATATTATAGAAGTACTTAGAGTCTTAAATTTACATAAATTATCGATCAAAGACTGTGCTTCTGGTGAGGGTTTTGCCTCAAATGATTTATTATCAATTATAAATTGTAAGGCACTTATCGTTATTGGAAGTAGGCTCTCTTTGCCATGTATCCATCTAAGGGATTTTTCATGTGGCCACCACCTTGTCTCTCCTATTTTTTTAAGCCTTCTCAACTTATTTTGGCCAGATGAGTTATTCTGTTTCACCCAAGCATCCATCCTTTTATATGATTCACCAAAGAAAGTTGCTAGTCTGTTCAACAATCCAAATAAATTTTTGCCTTCAACATTATGGCATGAATCACATCACATATACATAGATTTAATATGTGACTATAACACCAAATATACAAACTACTTGGAGCCTCTTGTCTAATAAGAGCTAGCAACCCAACTAATTTACCTCGCATATTTGCCGCACCATCAAATAATTCTCCAATTATATTTCTCATTTGAATTCCATGTTTTAAAAAGCATTCACTCAAGATATCAAAAAATCCTTTTCCAGAAGAGTTTGTAACTTTTGTAAGTGCAAAAAGCCTTTATGTTATTTTGCCATTATATATGTATCGTAGGCAAATAGTTGCTTGATCATGTGTTCGTTGAGTTAAGCTTAGTTAGTAATAATATAATAAAATAACAATAAATTAATATTAAAAGAAACTTTAGAAAATCAAATTGATCAAAAATTTATTTATTAAAATTATTATTATACCTGGGTTTTATTTGATTTCTTTTCTTGAATTAAGAACAATACAATAACAAAAGTTTGCTATATTATTTCTACAATAAAAAATATAATATAATAAATTAATTAAAACTTAATTTACCCTCTACTCGTAGTCAAGCTCAAAAGGAAGCGATTCACTTCATTCGAAAAAAAACAAGGAAAAGCACGTGATAATGATGTATAGCGTCAAACGACGTTATTAATATTTTATGCATATACGATAATCATAACGTGATACTACAACATCTGAACTTAAAATCACAACCATTTAAGGCCAACAGAGGACTGAAACAAGGATGCATTTTATCATCTATGCTATTTAATGTAATAATGAACGATATTCTGAATAAATCCTTCAAACAAGAACATGCTCTTAACCCTTGATATCTGAATCAACAATATGATAATAACATACACAACTCTCTAAATTTTCTATGCTATGCCGATGATTTATTCATATTATCTAACTCTGAGTACAAATTAAGAAACTTGCTGTCATTGTTTGTCAAAAATTGCTTTGGATACGGACTGAAAGTCAACTACTCAAAGACAAAGTTAATTGTATCCAATATCCCTCTATATAACAGCGACCCCTTTAACTTTGAGGATAATGTGGTAGATACGGTCTCGGATTTTAAGTACCTAGGAACCAGAATAATGTCATTAGGCACCACCATTTTGGATACTAAGTCGAGGACCAACAAGGCCAGATCCCGATATCATCAGCTAACTAAATTATGGTCGTCCAACCGGATATCTACGAACCTAAAAATAAGACTCTTTAAATCCCTAATTCTACCCATCTTAACATACGGGTTGGAAACATGGCAGGACACTAAAAGCAACATCAACACAGCCCAGACCTTCATAAACAAGTGCTTAAGAAGAATCACTAAAACTTACTATCCATACAACACCCCAAACACAATTCTCTGGAACAGGTGCGACATCCTACCTATCAAAAGACTCATTCCTTAGAGGAGATTAGAATTACTCGGCCACTGCTTAAGACATTCACGAGATAATATGATATTTTCGTCCATGGAGTGGACCCCGGATTATGGAAGGCGAAGAATCCCCAAATACTATTGGCTGGCAAAATGTCTGAAGGACATGGACTTGATCAATCTTACGTTTATAGATTTTCTTGCACTCAGCAAAAACAAGAAACATTTAAAGGAACATCTGCAATACATGCTTAAATATGGTTTAAACTAGAGCAGGAATCGTGGACGTATCAGACTATTTCTCACACTGCCTTATTTCCAATCTCTTATCCCCAGTCTAATGACAATTATGTTTTGGCGCAATAGGAATTATGATTTTTGACGAAGTCAATGATAATCTTAAAACCGTGAATATTGAAAATGATAACGATCTCCAGGCTCAATATAATAATGATAATAGTGAATAACATGGATTCTATAGACATTGCGTTATCTTCCAAGGATATACTTACCAAACATTAAGAAATTTTTTTTTCCCATCTCTTAAATCTAACCAGGTGTCAGGTACATTATTATTATTAATATTAGCTACAATTCTTAACACTATTTTGCCGGTAACGGAACTAATAGATCCCCTCTTTCTTACTCCTCTCTTCTTTACTATGCTAGCTGACTACATAGTGGCACCGTCCACTATAATAAAACGGGTATACATCATGTATAGGATCTATATACTAGTGAATATACATGGTGCACGCTACAACTCCTGGTGGGTGATGAAATTGCACTTCGTGCAATTTCTGGCGTGGTAATGAATGAATGAATGAATATAGTAAATTACATGATAATTCTCAAGGAATGCGATATTAAAAATAAATAAATGATAAGAGAAAATATTATGGACATAATAATATTATTTTTTTTCTAATTGGCCTCTTTTTTTATATTTTCCTCCGATCGGCCTCAAAATCGACATTTTCTCGCGGCCTCGTGGGCAAAATGCCCACCGGGTCTAATGGCCAGTCCGCCCCTGATTAAGGTGGATGCTCGGAATCCCAATTTAATAGGATTAGAATTTTAACGAATCACATTGTGAATATTGAATTGTGATTAATCTCAAATCCTGTGAAATCATAGTTAAATCTGAGAAGATAGATTTATAAATATATTATTAATATTATATTGCAGTGAAATGAATGTATTAATTAATTTCATTAGGAGAAATTAAGAAGTTAAAAATAAGAAATAAAAAAAATCATACATATTTTTCACTAACATTCTGCAATAAGTATATCGCGAATAAAG